TGAGGCAGTTCACCATTACAGAGACAGTCCACCATTACTGAGGCAGATCACCATTACCGAGGCAGTTCTAACTATACCTCTATAAACAAAACTGCAAGGAAGTTCACACAGCAGCTGGGCAAAGACCAGGGCAGCTCAGCAACACCTCTGCTGGCAGACTATGACTAGGCTACCTCCTTGCTGGGCAGGGTATCTCTGAAAAAAGGCAGCAGCATGTCAGGAACTTAGAAATAAAGCCCCACCTTCCCAGGACAGAGCACCTGGGAAAAAAAGCCAGTTATGAGTTCTGCTGCAGCAGACTTAAACGTACCTGCCCAGCAGTTCTGAATGGAACTATGGACCTCATAGCTCAGCACGTGAGCTCCTATAAGGGACAGACTGTCTCTTCAAGCAGCTTCCTTACCCCCATATATCCAAAGAGACACCTCATAAAAGAGAGCTCAGGCTGACATCTGGCAGGTATCCTTATGGGACAAAGATAACAGAAGAAGAAACTGGCAGAAACCCTTACTGTTCTGCAACCACTGCTGGTGATGCCCAAGCAAGCAGGGTCTGGAGTGGACCTCCAGCAGTCCTACAGCAGAGGGACCTGACTGTTAAAAGGAAAACTAAAAAACAGAAAGAACTTCATCATCAACAAAAAGAATGTCCACTCAAAGACCTCATCTGAAAGTCACCAACTACAAAGACCACAGGTAGATAAATCAGATAAATCCACAAAGATGGGAAGAAACCAGCACAAAAAGGATGAAAACATCCAGAACCAGAATGCCTCTCCTCCTCCAAGGGATCACAACTCCTCACCTGCAAGGGAACAAGGCTGGATGGAGAATGAGCCTGATGAATTGACAGAAACAGGCTTCAGAAAGTGGGTAATAACAAACTTATCTGAGCTAAAAGAACGTGTTCTAACGAATGCAAAGAAACCAAGAACCTTGAAAAAAGGTTTGACAAAATGTTAATGAGAACACACAACATAGAAAATATAAATGAATTGATGGAGCTGAAAAACTCAACACGAGAACTTCATGAACCATACATAAGTTTCAATAGCTGAATCGACCAAGCAGAAGAAAGGATATCAGAGATTGAAGATCAACTCAATGAAATAAAATGAGAAGGCAAGATTAGACAAAAAAGAGTAAAAAGAAATGAATAAAGCCTCCAAGAAATATGAGATTATGTGAAAAGACCTAATCTACATTTGATAGGTGTACGTGAATGTGACGGAGAGAATGAATCCAAGCTGGAAAACACTCTTCAGGATATTATCCAGGAGAACGTCCCCAACCTAACAAGGAAGGCCAACATTCAAGTCCAGGAAATAGAGAACACGACAAAGATATTCCTCAAATAGAGCAACAACAAGGCACATAATCGTCAGATTCACCAGGGTTGAAATGAAGGAAAAAATGCTAAGGGCAGCCAGGGAGAAAGGTCGGGTTACCCACCAAGGGAAGCCCATTAGACCTGCAGCAGATCTCTCAGCAGAAACCCTACAAGCGAGAAGAGAGTGGGGGCCAATATTCAACATCCTTAAAGAAAAGAACCTTCATCCTAGGATTTCATATCCAGCCAGACTAAGCTTCATAAGTGAAGGAGAAATAAAGTCCTTTATGAACAAGCAATTGCTCAGAGATTTCATCACCACCAGGCCTGCTTTACAAGAGCTCCTGAAAGAAGCACTAAACATAGAAAGGAACAACCAGTAGTACCAGCCACTCCAAAAACGTACAGCCTGCATCGAACTCTGCCTCCTAAGCAGACACATGCTTATTAGCTTTATCATTGATTTAGACACAATTGTTCAGAACTGATTACATGCAGCTCCACGCAGTACTACATATAGTTATTTAATTTTTAGTGCATACAATGGTCTCTCCCATTAGTTTCTAAGATGTCTAAAGGAAGGCAGGTCACACTTTCTTTTCTGAGTGCACATTAGCTGTATGGTTTGTTGAACAAATTATTTTTTTCATTTATTCAGCCACCACTTACTTAGTACTCACTATAAGCCAGGGACTGTGCTAAGTTCTTGGCATGCAGGGATTTGTTTATCAATTAATTCAACCCATTTGTATGTACCATCTTCCTGAAATAAAAAAAATATATATAAAGCAAATCAAATCTCTGGCTTCATGGGCCTTATATTTCAGTAGGAGGACAGGTAACAAAGAAACAAAGACATATTTTTTTTTTTTTTTTTTTTTTTGAGACGGAGTTTCGCTCTTGTTACCCAGGCTGGAGTGCAATGGCGCGATCTCGGCTCACCGCAACCTCCGCCTCCTGGGTTCAGGCAATTCTCCTGCCTCAGCCTCCTGAGTCGCTAGGACTACAGGCACGTGCCACCATGCCCAGCTAATGTTTTGTATTTTTAGTAGAGACGGGGTTTCACCATGTTGACCAGGATGGTCTCGATCTCTTGACCTCGTGATCCACCCGCCTCGGCCTCCCACAGTGCTGGGATTACAGGCTTGAGCCACCGCGCCCGGCAACAAAGACATATTTTATCAAGTAATGATAAAGGCCATGAAGAATATGAAACAATCCAAGTGATTGGGAATGAAAAAATGGGTAGAATGAGATGTTTTGAAGAACGTGTTCAGGAGAGATCTCTGAGAAGATGGCACTGGAGCAGAGACCTGAGTGAAGTGAGGGAGAAAGGCAAGCAAATCCCTGAGGGGAGAAAGTTCCTGGCAGAGGGAACAGCAAGTGCCTGAGATGCAAGTGCCCTTGGCATGTCCCAGGAACAGCAGGTTGACAAACTGCAGCTAGAACGCCTTGAGTGACAGGGAGAGCTCCCTGGAAACGAGGTCAGAGAGACAGGCAGATCCAGTCTACATGGGACTTTCAAGGGTTTAACTTTATGCCTGATGGGGAGATGTTGGGGCGTTCTGAGTAGGGGACTGATGTGGCGTGGTATGTGATACGTGAGACCAATGAAAATGATCCAACTGCACAAAAGAGACTTCAAATTTATTATTGAAAGTTACACCACACAAACGTTCATAGACATGTGTATAAAACTGTGAAATTTTAAAAAAGGAATCTACCAGGAATTTAAAAAAAAATCTGCTCTGTCTATGGTCTCTATAGAGTGCATATATAGATGGGTAATTGTAGGAAATGGCAAATAGCAAATTTAAATGGAAAATTATAGCCCGAAAAGTTAAAAGAGAAATAAAGCATTTAGAAACTGAACACTCATATCAAAGAAACACTGTTTATTTATCTGAGAAATAAAAGCTGTGGCTAAATTAAGATTTTGCTTTTATATTTTAATGTCTCAAAGTATAAAGATATGATTTAAACACTCTCTGTAAGAACATAAACTACTGTTAATTGAATCATAGGTCTTGAACAATATTTAGTGAATATTTACAGTGAACATTTGTCTTACATTGGGGTTTAGTGACTGTTTGGTAAGTTGGTCTGAAGAGCCTGAGATAGACACAGTGTGGTCTTTAGGTATTAACTAATCCAAGCTCCTTTTTCTATCCACAGATGAGATCTTAGTGCTATGAATAAGGGATTTGGGTTGTAATATTAATTTTGTTGCTAGTGTGATAGGGGACTTGGAGCAAGACAAAATAAGGAAGGCCACTGCTAATGTCTATTGAGTGCCTACCCTGTGCCGGGTACTATGTGAACTCTGTGCCTTATGTTGGTGTTTTAAGGGCTTCACTAATGGTTTTCTTTACTAGAATTCTTTTTGTTATTTATTATTTTTAATTGCCAAATTATAATTATATATATTCTTATGAGGTACAAAGTGGTGTAATGATATATGTATACAGTGTAGAATGACTGAATCAAGCAATTAACATGTCCAGCACCTGAAATGCTTATTATTTGCTTCTCCTGGCTAACTGCAACGTTGTATCTTTTGACCCATATCTCCCCATTCTCCCCAGGCTCGCAGGCTGTAGTAACTTCCAATCTACTTTTGCTTCTATGAGTTTGATTATTTTAGATTCTACATGTAAGTGAGAACATGGACTATTTGTCTTTCTATGCCTGGCTTACGTCACTTTGCATAACTACCTCCAGGTTCATCCATGTTGTTGCAAATGACAGAATTTCCTTCTTTCTTAAGGTTGAATAGTATCCTATTATGTAGATATGCCACATTTTCTTTATCCGTTATTCCACTGATGGACACTTAGATGGATACAATAACTTGTGATTGCCAGAGTTTTGAACCAAATGAGAGGGATAACAAAATCGGTCAGATGGAGAATCAAAATGTTATTTATGACTAATGGAGCTAATATCAGACAATGTGGCAACAACAGGCTTCCAAATGGTGAATCCTGGTATTATATAGATGTCTGAAAAGTGGGAATTTCCATATGAAGGATGATCTAAGAGGAGCAGGAAAGGGCAGATTCTGTGGGAGAGAGGGAGAGGATGAAGCTGGGCTATAGGAACTTGCTTCATCTTTCAGAATCACTAACCAGGAATATTTAAGGTGACTGAATGCTGAACAACCCTTCTCCATGGTAATGGATATATTTGCTCATTTATTAATAATTCTCATGGCAACTTTATAAAGTTGGTCTTATACCATTTTATAGACACAGAAATGGAGGTACACAGAAGTGTCACAGACAACTTGCTTAAATCCCGCAGTAAGGACACGGTGGAAACAACCTTTGCATCCAGTCTGGTATGGCCCTCAAGTTCATGTTTGCACCCACTGTGCCCTCCTGTTCCTCCAATCTTTTCAAGCTGAGATTTGTTATCTGAGAAAATGAAGTGGTTAGATTAGAAAAATCTCTAAAAGTTCCTTTCAACTTTAAAATACTTTAATATACTATTAGGTTTCTTGTAAAAATATTTGGGTGTGTGAAGTATTTTAAAGTCCTCAGGGAAGGGATAATGTGGAACAATATTATATACAACCTAAAATGTTATTTTGATGAGAAGTCATAGTAGGTAATTGTAACCTAATTCTGTTTTCAATGTGGAAAACTTAACAACTTAAAAAGGAACAGACAGATGGAATTTTGCTAATGTGTCCAAGAAGGAAATATGATTTCACATGCATATTATATGCAAGTTTATGAATGCAGTCACAGTGTCTGGAACCTGGGTAGGAAACTATGATGAAAATCAGTGAAGTAAAATATCAAAATAAAACATTGCATGACAACTTCTAATGGGGAGCAATGCTGGCACTTTTAATAAAACCACTTGGGAATATTAACGTGATACGTAAGTGGCTGAAGGGTTCTAAATTTCCCTGGTGATATTCATACATCACAAAGTGAATGTTAACTGGCAATAACTCAAGAAATGGCGTGTTTAGCATACCAGTGAGATGCCGGGGTTGTGATCACCAACGGTAAATTATAACGTTTTACTTTGAGTCAGAAGTAAGTAGACCCTCACTTATAATTTCCTAATAACTTGTTTGGAGCAAAGATTTAGGATTATATCTCAATTAAGAATGGAATGCATGTCTTAGGTAACAAACTCACCTTTCTTTATGTGAAAGGGTAGGGACATTACCAACACGTTTCCAATGAAATGGCTTTTGGTGCATTGATGGTAGCAGAGAATTTACTCCACATTTAAATATACTGGGAAATTTGGAATCGTATTTTTAGTGGGAGATTTAAAAAATATCATCTTGAATTAATAACATTCTAAAAATGGCTTTAATAGAAGTTCTGATTATGCAATTAATTGTTCAAATAACCTCAGTTTTTATGTTAAATTAATTTGGTAGTTGGTAAGTGTAAGTACCTTTTTTCTATGCAATACATTTAAATTCTAGAAGATGAGCTTTCCTCTTATCCTCCATCAAAACGATTCAAAAGAATGACATTGCCTTTACTAATTAATCCATATCTTTGATAAATGTGACTTTTTTCTTTCTAGTATTTCCTTTATTCAGGGGTTAAACATAAATTCTTGGCTTGTATCTGCCATCCTCCTGAGTAGCACTATTTCCCAAAATTTTTCTGCTGGCATCCGAGGGGTTCATTCTGAAGTAGTTTTTTCACTTTGGTTTTAAAAAATATTTTATTTGCCTATTGTAACATTATGTATACTTGTTCATCCCTAAATGAGCATGTACATGTGTTTAAAACCATAAGCTGAAATTATTTCTTTAAAAATTATGGTGTGAAGGGGATAATATGATTCTTAATTTCTATAAAAAGAATTATTTCTTAGAAATACAATTTAATCTTTATATACTATAATTTGCTTCTAACGATAGCTTTATTTTATTAATTACTGTCATAGGATAGAGTGAAGTCTTAATGAGTAGAGTTAGCATATATTTGCATATTTGAAAGGTGAGTGACACTAACTACCCAGAAGCAAAGTGACTTAATAAAACATGGAAAAGCACCAGATTCTTTTTTATTGCAGTATTACAAGCATAATAATATCTCTAAACGTAGAATAAAGTAAACTGATGCTATCTTATTTGGCTCCTAATAAATTATGTTGATAACTTGTTGAAAACAAATGAATAGCAAGTAGTAAATATGAATGTGTAAATGAGCTGAGATGCATTAAAAAAAAAAAGTAATAACATCTAGGGTGTAGTGACTACAGAGAAGACAAGAAACAGGATGGCTGAGCAGTGAGGCTCCAATTGCTGCTTATTTTGAGAACAGTGACCTGGACCTCTTGTGAAATATTCTCCTGTGATTTCTCCACCTATAAATAACTTGCTTTGGGTCTGATGGCTTCTAATCAGTGAATAATGATTGTCAACTGGGTCTCAGTTATCAAAAGCAACCAGAGAAGCATTTACAGGGTATTTAATCCTCATAACAACCTAGTGAAGTCAGGAATATAATTATCTTCATTTACCCACCCACAAACCAACAGACAGGTTAGGTCATTTACAAAAAGATCATCAAATAATGCAAATATAACAAAATATTTATTTTACTCCTGCTGTTTTAGGCATTGTACTGGTTTTGAGGACAAAACAGAAGACAGTCTATACTCTCAATTCCTTCTGAGAGAAACAGATGAATTCCCAGGCAACTACAATATAGAGGCAAAGAGCATGCATGCAGCTTTGCCTTGTTTGCTGCAAGATATAGAACACATTTATAGTGTCTGAGGGAAGAATTCAGCTGGCAGTAGCAGAGGCGGCTAAAAATGTTCTCTTTCTTGTGTGAGCTTGCTAGTGAAAATAGACCAAGCTCATCTTTTTCTGGTTTTTGTTTTTTGAGACAGAGTCTTGCTGTGTTGCTCAGGCTGGAGTGCAGTGGTGTGATCTCAATTCACTGCAACCTCCACCTCCCAGGCTCAAGAGATTCTCCTGCCTCAGCCTCCTGAGTAGCTGGGATTACAGGTGCATGCCACTATGCCCAGCTAATTTTTGTATTTTTAGTAGAGACAGGGTTTCACCATGTTAGCCAGGCTAGTCTTGAACTCCTGGCCTCAAGTGATCCACCCACCTCAACCTTCCAAAGTGCTAACATTACAGACGTGAGTCACCACACCTGGCCTGTTCATCTTTATTCTGTTAGCTCCATAAGGCTTTAATTCTTTGTAACCATATTAAGCTTACCACCGTACCACATGGGAAACTACTCCTCTCTTTTGCACATGTAATGCCAGAATAGATCTTAAGTTTATTTTCAGGGTTGTGTTTAGGAGGGTACTTATCTATTGGGCCAGAGAAAATATACACTTGAGAAAAACACTGAATAATTTTCGAGATACATGGAATTTAAAGCTGGCTGTTTATAAGATCAAGTTACTATTTATAAACTCTCAATTTTAATATCAGATGTTTTAGCTGCTGAAGAATGTTTTATTTGTCATTTTGAATGTTTTAACATTTAGAAGCTCACCATTACATGTATTTTCCAGACACAGGGAACAATTACATAGATTTATAGCATCAGCAGAACCATCTGTAGATCTGACTAGATTTAGAAATGAGATGTATAACACACTTGGTCCGTCATTGAAGCTCTGAATAGTGGGAGTAAACCACCAGGGTATTGTTTGCTCTGCTTCTGTTTTCTAGGTGCTGTCTCTCCCCTCTAAATTCACACGGTTGCCACCATGTTTGTAAATGTGACAGTTGTTGGTTCAGAGTGGGAGGAAGATCCAAGCTTAGCTAATTGCATTATCTCACTATTTTTTCTCATTGAGTAGGCTTGGTTAGTCAGAGTTTATTCTATGTAAGTCCCAGATGGGTAAAGTGCAGTTCAATTCTGGCATTGATTACCTGGAGTTAGCAGGCCTCAGACTCTGCAGGTGTCTCTATCCTTTGCAAGATAGCTGTCACTTCAGACAACAGTCACAAGTGGGATTCCCAGGCCACTCACATTTCTGACTGACCAGCTACATAGTTGGAGGCTTTTATAAGTTCAGTAATTTGCTAGAACAACTCACAACTCACAGAGCTCAAAGTGTGATGCTTACAGTCACAGTCTTATTATAAAGGATATCACCCAGGAACGGCCAAATGATGAGTCACACAGGGAAGGGTCTGAAGGGTTCTAGGAGTGGAGCTTCCATGCTCTCTCCTTACAGAGTCAGGGTGCCCCACCCTCCTGGCACATCAATATATCCATCTACCAGGACATTCCTCTGAGCCTCAGTGTCTAGTCTTTGTTGGGACCTTATTACATAGGTATGATTGATGAAATCATCAACCATGTCATTGCAGTCAATCTCCAGCACCCATCCCTTCCCTGCAGGTTCAGCAATAGAAAATTCCAACCCCTATGTCATGTCCTTGGTCCTTCTGGTGAGAAGCCTCCATCCTGAAGCTAGCTAGGAACCCATAATGACTCGCTTCTTGAGCATAACAGACTCATATTATCCAGGAAATTCCAAGGGTTTTTGAAGCCCTGTTCAGGACCTGAGGGCAAAGGTCCAATATATTCCTTGAAAGTAGAATCTATCTTTGGAAATTCTGGCATTAGAACTGAGTGAAAAAAAAAATCAGCCTCTTTGGATTCCTATATGATGAAAGGTAAGAATTGGGGCTGTTGGTTGCTATTTTTCACCAGAAAAACAGAAGCCAGTGTGTAAGGAGAAAAGAGAAATGAAGTAGACAAAGAGAGAAGAGATGAATGAAGGAGAAAGTAAGTGCTTAGAGATTCGAGTCCCTTTTCCAACTTCTTCCTGTCCTTTGCTTCTTTGAGATTCCACATTATCCTTACTAAATACCTTTGTTTCTCATTTCATCCAACTCCAGCTGAATTTTTTAAAACTTTTAACTGAGCTTTCTACTTGGTAAAGTGAGCAAGTTAATGCTTGTATGAAAATGGAAGTATTATGTATACTTAAATAACTTTAAACTCCAGACAGGACTTGTTCCCATTTATTACATATAAGATTGAAGGTCATTGGCTGCTTTGGATGAATGCTAGTCTTGTTTACTCTTCGAAGTGAGCTTGTTTGGGAATTATTCTCCACCCATTGTCAGGTTTTTGCTTCTACACCCTGACTCCGGTCTCTGGCAGTAAAAATATCTTTCTCTTTATAAGTTTATACCATAGCAGCTGCAACAGAGAACCAGGAATACAACTCGAGATTTTGCTCTTGCTGGCCCAGGATCTGCTTCTGTGTGGAGCTTCACAGTTTGTGTTGATGGTTAGAGGTCTGCTTCCTTCTGTCAGCCCTCAGGTGCTTTGAATATATATTGAAACATTCAAAACATAGAGGCCCCAATTCCTTCTGGGGCCTCTATGTTTTGAATGTTTTTGTTCGTTCCAAAATTCATATTGAAACTTAATTCCCGATACAACAGTATTGGGAGATGTAGCTTTGGGGAGGTGGTTGAGTTATGAGTTATGAGAGCTCTTCCCTCATAAATGGGATTAGGCATCCTAATCACAGGACTTGAGGGAGTTCATCCCTTTTTCTCTTTTGCCTTATGTCATCAGACAGAAACATTCTGTCATTAACACAGCATTCCAGCGGATGCCATCTTGGAAGCAGGGACTGATCTCATCAGACAGTGAATCTACCGGGACCTTCATGTGGAACTTCCCAGCCTCCAGAACTGTGAAGAATAGGTTTCTCTTCTTTATAAACTGTCCAGTCTATGAGATTTTTTATAGCAGCACAAATGGACTAAGTCAGAGACTTGTAACTATGGTTTGGAAACCTTAATTTTGGAAATATATTCAAGGTTTTGGTAACATCAGCTAGTAGCTGACTCTGAGCTTTTATTATCAGTGTGTGGAACATATTTGCCCTGTTTCATGGCTTTCCATGAGCTGCTCTTCCTGCTTGCAATGCTCTTCTTTGAGATAGTGGCATGGCTTGCTTCCTTACTATTAATACTCTTAGGCTTCTTCTCACATGTAATCATCCTAGTAATCCTCACCGACTACCCTGTCTAATTGGCTCTTTTTCTCTGTCCCTTTATCCTGATTTATTTTTTAGCACTTGACATCTGACATATTGAACATTTATTTATTCAGTTTTTAGTTGTCTCTCTGCTCTATTCTTTCATAAATTCTATGAAAGAGAGACACTGTCTATTTTATATGTTGTTTCATCCAGCATCTAGAAAAGTACCAGATACTCTGTAGGCACTAACAAAAATTTCTTGAATAAAAAGAGAAATGGAGTAAAGTGTCTGCTGCTCAGCACCTTCTTAATACTCCTTCTGCATGTAGGGGGAGTTTCTTGCCTTGCGAAACTTATTTCTCCAAGAAGGCAAGTCAGATGTTTGATTTCCAATCCTCCCTTGCAGCTTGGGCACCGATCAGATGAACCCATACAATAATCTGATTCAGAAGCTGCAAAGTCTAAAAGCATGGTCCAGGAGGAATCCGTGTGTGTGTGTGTGTGTGTGTGTGTGTGTGTGTGTGTGTGTGTGTGAAGCTAATAGTAGTAGATGTTCCAGTAGCCACTTCCCAGTGTGGTGTGAGCTGCAGTGTCTGTGCCCAGTGGTATAAGCAGTGGATTTCTATGGAATCATTCTACATGGCTTTGAGAGTTGTGCTTGGCTATGTAGCCTCCATATTTTACTGTCTCCCCTTCTCAGAGAGTTTATGAGCTATGTAAGTCACTTCAAAAAAATAAATAAATATTGGCAAGGGGTGGTGTCTCATGCCTGTAATCCTAGCACTTTGACAGACCAAGAGGATTGCTTGAGGCCAGGGGTTTGAGACCAGTCTGGCAACAAAGAAAGACCTCCATCTTTACAAAAAAATAAAAATAAAAATCAGCAGGGTATGGTAGCATGTTTCGGTAGTTCCAGCTACTCAGGAGGCTGAGGAGGGAGGACACCTTGAGCCCAGGAGGTTGAGGCTGCAGTGAGCAGTGATTGCACCACTTCACCCCAACCTAGGTGACAGAATGAAACTCTGTCTCTAAAAAATAAAAATAAATAAAAATAAGCTCATTTTCTACTTAAACTAGCTTAAACAAGTTCTTCTGTTTGCAACTGAGAATCTTACTGACTGATAGCTGGTTTGAATCTGGACTGCATATCCAGAAGTCTATACTTTTACAAATTAACTTAGTGGTTTATAAGCTAGTACACTGTTTTGGGGGATCTTAGTGTTTATCTAGTCAAGTAACTTCCTGTTACTATTTTTGTATTTAGTTATTTTTTCCAATAATTTTTCTTTTTCTGTTGAGACAGAGTCTCACTCCATCACCAGGCACCAGGCTGGAGTACAGTGGTGTAACCTCAGCTCACTGCAACCTCCACCTCCCGGGTTCAAGCAATTCTCCTGCCTCAGCCTCCCCAGTAGCTGGGACTACAGGCCACCAAGCCCAGCTAATTTTTTTTTTTTTTTGTATTTTTGGTAGAGACGGGGTTTCACCATGTTGACCAGGATGGTCTCTATCTCTTGACCTCGTGATCCACCCGCCTCGGCCTCCCAGACTGCTGGGATTACAGGAGTGAGCCACCGCGCCTGGCTCCAATAAAATTTTACAAGAAATAGGGCACCCAATATTTAAAATTGCTCTGATTGAAGGTTGGTAGATGTCAGAATTCTTCTCTCTTGCTTCCCTCACAGTATCTCAGGACCCTCATTGGAGTCCTTAAGGAATACAGAATATGGGAATCTGGGCATAGTTTGACTAGCAAAAGCAAGATTCTATTCAAATTTAGGTTCTAAAAGTTTTAACAAATTTAATTAGAAGCTTATTTCCCTAGTGTACTCAGGAATACCTATAAATTGACTTCATGTGACTTTTAACTTAAAAAGATATAATCCAAGAAACATTTTTCTTGGGATTAAAAAAAAAGATGCAATAAATACCAGATACAAAAAAAATTTTTCTCACAAGCACATGGTAATCTAAGTGCAATAAATTATACTTTTAAAATTCAAATGCATTTAGAAAACAAGTCAAATTTAATTATGAGATAACACTACACACCTATCGGAATGGCTAAAATCCAGAACACTGGCAATGCCAAGTGCTTACGAAGATGTGAATCAACAGGAACTCTCATTCCTTGCTGGTGGGAATGCAAAATGGTACAGTCTCTTTGGAAGACAGGTTGGCAGTTTCTTAAAAAACTAAACATATTTACTAAACTAAGAGTCATGAATGTGCTTGTTGCTATTTACCTAAATTAATTAAAAATGTTAGTCCACACAGAAGCCTGCACATGAATGTGTGTAGTAGCTTTATTTATAATTGCCAAAACTTGGAAGCAACCAAGATGTCTTCAGTAGGTGAATGGTGAGGTATGTCTCTAATAGGGAATTTCATGCATGTGTTGGAGCGGGAGGTATATGGGAAATCTCTGTACCTTCCTCTCAGTTTTGCTCTGAATCAAAAACTACTTTAAAAAAAGTCTTGAAACTAATAACAGTGAAAAACACCAAAACTCTGCCAAAATAATATTAACACACATGTTAAGTTCATGTGACATATTTATCCTTTTGAAAGTCTCATAAAATCAAATCAATGAAACAGACATTTTCTATGGCAATGAGGACATAATAAAATAATCTATTCAATTAGTGAAATGAGTCCCTTCATTTATAAGGCAAATTCAATTATGTAATAAGTAGAGGATCCATTTGAGTTTGACCTAAATTTTCTAAACCTAAAAGAATAAACTATGGCATGGGAAATATAATTAACTTCCAACTTGTCTCAGTCATAATTTGAGACAATTTGTAATTTTTGCTGCTGTGATTGATTACCTGTCTCAAGGTGAACTATTGAGGAACTGAGTCATCAAGGGGCAACTTTCATTTCTCTTTTGCAAATAATGATAATTTGTTCCTGGTGATTGTCTCAGTACGTAAAAAGCTGTAATTTTCTATTACATTGCTGTCTAGTTTAGTACCACAAAGCAACACCATTCTAATATATTTTTTCTTATGATTCTCTTCTAAGCATTAAATTTTTTGAAAGCCATGTCTTATTTGAGATTTCTTTTTTTTTAAATTTTTATTTTAAGTTCAGGGATACATGTGCAGGTTTGTTATATAGATAAACTCATGTTATGGGGGTTGGTTGTACAGATTATTTCATTGCCTAGATTACTTGAGATTCTTTAAAGTATTTTTTTATTATTGCTAAGTGAGTAGAATAATTTATCTTCAAATAAATTTATATTTTTCTTAGTTCCAAAGAAGAAGAAAGGAATTCCTCAGTGATGTAGGATAATTTTATAACTGAAGTGTCATCAACTTTCTTGTTAATGGTCAGAGAGTCATGTAAGTGAAAACGTAGTCTCAATGCATGTCATTCAAACTGTGTCTGGTACCCATGGTTCAGCACACCTCCCACTGTACCTCTACTGTCCACGCTGTTCTCTCCACAGGCACTAGCACTGCAACCACTGGCACCACTGCAAAATGGGCACTGGATACATAGAATCCTCAATGCATCAAAGCTTGGATAAGCTCTACAACTTCAAGCTGTATTCAGGATTCTCCTCCTCTGAAGACAAGCGTTTTTTATTAGACCTGAAAGGGAATTATTGACAGGTTGAAATCTTTCCTGGCGGTTTTTAAATCCCTCATGTAAGAAGACTAATATTTCTTACATTAATAATTTTGACATCTAAGACCAAATGGCCAAGGACCATTTAAACCAAAAAGTGTCTGAGGCAGATCTCAATTGATTCAGAGGTTTATTTTTCCAAGGTTGACGACACACCCAGGAAAAAGAAACACAAGTTAAAGTAGAATCTTTCCCAATAGTGCTGTATGTCTATCTTTTGGATTTTCCACATTGCTATGAACTGAATTATGTCCCTCCAAATTCATACGTTGAACCCCTTATCCTCAAGTGATAGTATTTGGAGATAGTGACAATAAGAAAGCAATTAAGGTTAAATGAGGTCATAAGGTGTATTAGTCTGCTTTCACACTGCTATAAAAAATATCTGAGACTGGGTAATTTATAAAAGAAAGAGGTTTAATTGACTTACAGTTCTGCATGGCTAAGGAGGCCTCAGGAAACTTACAATCATGGTGGAAGGTGAAGGAGAAGCAAGTACCTACTTCTCAAGGCAGCAGGAAAGAGACAGAGTGTGAAGGGGATAAAATCCTTTGTAAAACCATCAGATCTCATGAGAACTCACTCACTATCATGAGAACAGTGTGAAGGTAACACACCCCCATTATCCAATCACCTCCCACCAGATCCCTCCCTCAACATCTAAGGATTATAATTTGAGATGAGATTTGGGTGGGGACACAAAGCCAAACCATATCATAAGGATGGGACCCTGATCCAATAGAAATTGTGTCCCTATAAAAAAAGACACCAGAAGACTCTCTCTCTTGCCTGTCTTTCTCACCCTCTCTCTCTGTGAAGACTCAGTGTAAAGGCCACTTGAGAAGATGGCAGGAAAGATTTCATCGTATCAATAATTCCCTTTCAAGTCTAATAAAATAAAACCACTGGTCTTCACAGGGGAAGGAGAATCCTGAATACAGCTTGAAGCTGTGGAGCATATCCAAGCTTTGGCAGTCTGCAGAGTAGGAAGAGAGCCCTCACCAGAAACCAAACCCTCAGAGACCTTGACCTTGGACTTCCAGCCTCTAGAACTGTGAGAAATAGATTTTTGTTGTTTCAGCCACCCAGCTGTGGTATTTTGTTATGGCAGCCTAAGCAGACCCATATGAAATTTGCAAGCAGGACATTACAAATTATTTAAAGAAGATTTAATGAAAATGAGCAAAGATGTTATTCTTACAAATTCACAACTAGAACTCATCAGATGCCACCCTGCAATGTCAAATTCTTCATTAAATGCAGCTGTAACCACTGGCCAAAACAATGAGAATGAAATAGATAGTTAATCCTAACAAAGTCATAATTCAGAGATAGTAAATATATCTTTGGCCTGCTCATTAGAAGTTGAAGAAAACTACATTCATAAAATCTGAAAACTGTATAAGAAAGACAAAACCTCTGGAACTTTACTCTGTTTATTGGATGATGATTCTGGAAAAACGGCTGTCATATCCTGACATGAGTGAGACTGTTTCTAGCAAAGCAAAATCTGATTCAAATCAATGAATACAATTTTCCATTAGATAAACATGGCAGAACATTTATATTTCATTGTCAATCCAAATTTTTTCAAATTGGGAAAGAAGTTATTATATTCTAAGTTCAAAGACAAAGTATCTTGTTAATACTGTTATTCATTTCTCAACCAGTATTCATGATTGGTTTTGGCAAATGAAGATACTTGTCAATAGAAACACATTATCAGTTAAAAGAACATAAAATGTTATGTGTATATAACATTAACAAATATTAGAACAGAAAATTCAAAGACTGAGTAAATGACAAAACATTGATATTTTTGGCAAATAAGTAAAGGTAGAGCAAAATGCAAAACATTGTTATAATGTTCTTAAAAGAATATTGAAAGATAATATTGTCTAATATTGGCAAAACACAATGAGGCTTACTGTGGCAGTAATATTTATTTCAAAAACTAAAACCTTTTTAGATTTAGTAGAAACTATTTCCAATTTGTTAATAGCAAGGCTGAACATGCAGTATGAATTAAAAATAATGAAAAATATGACCTCTCTAGGATGGAGAATTCAAATTAGATCATTAATTTATTGGGTAAGAAAGTGGGGGAAGAAACACATAAAAATTAAATATTATTCAGTTTTACTGGATTTCAAAAGTCACACTGAGACTTCTTTAAATTAAAAGCAAATTGTGGTTTTTATTAGTAAATGAATTATGAATTTAATTATGAATATGTACTATCCATGTTGCATGCTTATAATATTAGCAAAAGATAATGACCATCTCCGCACTAAATGTGTGTGGCTACTGCATTTTCAAAGGGATTTAAATAAATAGATAAATAAATAAATAAAAACCTTTAGGAAAAAATGATTTTTCTAAATTGCAAGAAACTGCACATGACATATACAACATTTCATTAAAATACATGGAAATTACAAAGAGAAATGAAAATGCTCCCTTGACTATGCAGAAAAAGCTTCATGTACAATTCCCCAAACTAATTGCAATAGGCTATTTCTTTGGCCATTAGAAAGCAGGTTATCATTTCAACTGAAGAGAGATTAGGACAAATTGAATAACACTGCTAATTTTGGTTCTCTTTATAAACACCCAGATATACACAATTAACGTTAAATTCAGTTTTCTTTGCTATTTTGTCAACTTTCAGTCGTGTATAAACTGTAGCTTTACATATATTTTTCAATTTTGGAAAAAGTTATTTATTATGCGTAGGTACATGTGATGTTATCATACAGACATGCAATTGTAATAATCCCATCAGGGTAATAAGGTCTCCACCACCTCAAGCGTTTACCATTTCTTTGTGTTAGAAACATTTCAAGAACACGTTAAATATATTTTGTTTTTTATTTTTATTATGATTACTTTTTGAGACGAAGTGTCACTCTGTCACCCAGGCTGGAGTGCAGTGGCTCAGTTTTGGCTCACTGTAACCTTTGCCTCCCAAGTGCAAGTGATTCTTTTGCCTTAGCCTCATGAGTAGCTGGAATTACAGGCATGCGTCACCACCACGCCCGACTAATTTTTGTATTTTCAGTGGAGATGGGGTTTCACAATGTTGGCCAGGTTGGCCACGAACCCCTCGCTTCAGGTAATCCCCCCACCTTGGCCTCCCAAAGTGCTGTGATTACAGGTGTGAGCCACCGCACCTGGCCAAATATTTAAAAAAACAGGTTGTTAGCTTGTGTAAAATGTAATATCTAGACACCTGTGCTTCCAGTTGGAGTCTTGCTTCCAGTTTCAGTTTCAGTGCTGGCGTTACCTTCCTTGTGGGTTACCATGAGAGACATGGGATGGAGAAAATGTGAAAGCACATTGACTATAGATGAGGCGACTTCCCGTTAGCCTTCTCTCTACTACTGCTAAATTTCAAAGAGGCCTTTGGTTGCTGTTTTTAGGAAGTGGGGTATTACTTCACACTCAAAACTGTTTAGTATTTTCTTTTTAATTTGATGCTTTCAGTTTTCCAAACTGAAAACGATGTTTTGGCTTGAATGAACTCACGTTAAGTAGGCTTCTCCTGTGAAAAATTCAAAGAAATTTGTTTTTGGGTGTTTCTATTCTACATGCTTCTAGGGAGAAATGTCTTCCCATCTAGAAGAATCAGCAGTCTATTACTATCCAGACCTATGAAATTGAACGATTGATTGTAAAGAAGGCTATGCTGTTATATTTAAGCAGTTATTACATATCACATGTGCCAAAGTTGTTAAAAATAACAAAGGCTTATTATCTCGAATGTGGGAAACCAAGTCATTTTTTAAAAGGCGTGATTAATTGTGTGAGTTTGAACCTTTTAAGTGTGGTAAGCTGTATTCTGTGGGAACTTGCTCAGTATGCATGCAACTATGTAAACAAAAAGTTAAAATGCAGCTAACACTTTTCTGGCATTTATTAGCATAGCAAAGAAAGCAGAAACCAACCAAATTTTACATAAAAAGACATTAGAAAGCCGTGTCTGCCTCCATTATTGTTCAATCTGTGGGTGCCAGCTATACGCATAGAAATGATTTTTATTTATAGGCCTATCACCAAAATGTGTTCTTCATTAATTCATGTTTTTCTCAGTGTCATATTACTTATTTAACCCATCCAGGTGGTTTTTAAACACAGGGTAATTTAAAACTGAGCGAATTCATATGCACACCCCATTTTTCAGTGTTTAAGAATAATTGAATGGAAATGTCCTTGCCATTCATTCAATATTTTGTCAATTTGTTTACCTTTAATTAACCTGAGGAATACCACAAATGTGAGGGTGGCTGGATCTTTTGAGCTAAAATCCACATTGGGAAAGAAATAGACATTGAACATCTTGCCAAAGGTATTGAGAAATCTATTCCTCACAAGATTAAAGCTGAAAGTCCAAAGTAACTGCAGTTTATTCCAATAATACAGTTCAGTGAAACGCTGTTATATCAAACATTTGCTCATATACAACATTCATTAAAATAGAAAAGTCCTCATCTGAAGACTTGTAAAGTGACGTTTCTTCCATATAATATTTTCCTGCATGTAATGTTCAAAAATTGTAGTGCCCTGGAAAACATTACAAACGATTTTCCTTGTAGATCTGTGCTTGCTGTTAAATTTCTTTTGGGTTGTCCTTCTGGTGGGTGTTTCACAGCCTTTTACAGATTTAGTCTATATATAATAGGAAAAAGCCCCCTTCATTTGATTTTAAATAGTATCCATAGGAAGCAGCAGGAAAAAGTTTGCATTGCTGGGTGAAGGTCCTTGAGCACTTTTTTGTTTTGTTTTGTTTTGTTTTGTTTTTTGAGATGGAGTTTCGCTTTTGCTCAGGCTGGAGTGCAGTGGCATGGTCTTTGCTCACTGCAACCTTTGCGTCTTGGGGTCAAGTGATTCTCCTGCCTCAGCCTCTGGAGTAGCTGGGATTACAAGCATGTGCCACCATGTCCAGATAATTTTTGTATTTTTAGTAGAGATGGGGTTTCACTATATTGGTCAGGCTGGTCTTGAACTCCTGAACTGAGGTGATCCACCTGCTTCAGCTGGGATTACAGGCATGAGTCACCACACCCGGCTAAGCACATATTTTGTTTCAATAAAGCTTCAGTCATGCCTTTCCATTTTTTTTGCCCAGTGTAGTGTGTCACCTATGCTATTCTCTGCAACTAATCGAAGGAGAAATTGTTGTTTGTAGATTAAAGTGACCCTCTCAATCTGGAGAGTAAATTTTCCTATGTGTTGTTTTTTTACATTGCATTATATAGGTAAAGCCTCCATTTAAAAAAAGATAACTGATTTGTATTGCAATACTACCAATACCCATTATTCAATAGCCTAGCAAATGATGATTAGATGATTAAAGCAGTTTTCTACCTCACCACAAGGCCCTTAAGTTCCCAGTAACAGTTTTCAAGTATGCAGTGTATAGGTTACGTACAATGAATTCCATGCAGACATAACCTAACTTGTATTTCTGCATATTTTGTGGAATGTTTAAGCAAATGTTAATCCAAAAATGTGCCTTCTTATTCATTCACTTGATGAGCAGCTTCAGCAAATTCTCAGGATACAAAATCAATGTGCAGAAATCACAAGTATTCCTATACACCAATAACAGACTTAAAGAGAGCCAAATCAAGAACGAACTGCCATTCACAATTGCTACAAAGAGAATAAAATACCTGGGAATACAACTAACAAAGGATCTAAAGGACCTCTTCAAGGAGAGCTATGAACCAGTGCTCAAGGAAATAAGAGAGGACACAAACAGACGGAAAAATGTTCCATGCTCATGGTTAGTAAGAATCAATATTGTGAAAATGGCCATACTACCCAAAGTAATTTACAGATTCAACACTATCCCCATCAAGCTACCTATGACCTTCTTCACAGAACTGGAAAAAACCACCTTAAACTTTATATGGAACCAAAAGAGAGCCCACAAAGCCAAGACAAATCTAAGCAAAAAGAACACAGCTGGAGGCATCACGCTACCTGACTTCAAACTATACTCCAAGGCTACAGTAATCAAAACAGCATTGTACTGGCACCAAAACAGAGATATAGACAAATGGAACAGAATAGAGGCCTCAGAGGCAATGCCGTACATCTACAACCAACTGATTGTTGACAAACCAGAGAAAAACAAGCAATGGGGAAAGGATTACCTGCTTAATAAATGACGTTGGGAAAGCTGGCTAGTCATGTGCAGAAAGGAGAAACTGGACCCCTTCCTGACACCTTACACTAAAATTAACTCCAAATGGATTAAAGACTTAAACATAAGACCTAACACCATAAAAACCCTAGAAGAAAACCTAGGCAAAACCATTCAGGACATAGGCATAGACAAGGACTTCATGACTAAAACACCAAAAGCATTGGCAACAAAAGCCAAAATAGAAAAATGGGATCTAATTAAACTCCAGAGCTTCTGTGCAGCAAAAGAAAAAATCATTAGAGTGAACCGGCAACAGAATGGGAAAAAATTTTTGCAATCTATCCATCTGACAAAGGGCTAATATATAGAACCTTCAAAGAACTAAAACAGATTCACAAGAAAAAGCAAACCCATTCAAAAAAGGGTGAAGGATATGAACAGACACTTTTCAAAAGAAAACATTTATGAGGCCAACAAGCATATTTAAAAATGCTCACCATCACTGGTCATTAGAGAAATACAAGTCAAAACCACATTGAGATACCACATCATGCCAGTTAGAATGGCGATCATTAAAAGATCTGTAGACAACAGATGCTGGAGAGGATGTGGAGAAGTAGGAACACTTTTACACTGCTGGTGGGAGAGTAACTAGTTCAACCATTGTGGAAGACAGTGTGGCGATTCCTTAAGGATCTAGAAATAGAAATTCCATTTGACCCAGCAATCCCATTATTGGGTATATATCCAAAGGATTATAAATCGTTCTATTATAAAGACACATGCACACATATGTTCATTGCGGCACTGTTTACAATAGCAAAGACCTGGAACCAACCCAAATGCCCATCAACGATAGACTGGACAAGGAAAATATACTATGCAGCCATAAAACATGATGAGTTTGTGTCCTTTGTAGGGACATGGATGAATCTGAAAACCATAGTTCTCAGCAAACTGACGCAAGAACAGAAAACGAAACACCGCATGTTCTCACTCATAGGTGGGTGTTGAACAATGAGAACACATGGACACAGGGAGGGCAGCATCACACACTGGGGTCTGTTGTTGGAGAATAGGGAAGGCACAGCGGAGGGTTAGAGAGGTTGGGGAGGGATAACATAGGGAGAAATGCCAAATATAGGTGACAGGGGGATGGAGGCAGCAAACCACATTGCCATGCATGTACCTATGCAACAATCCTGCATGTTCTGCGCATGTACCCCAGGACCTAATGCAATAAAAATATATATATATTAAAAAAATAAAGGCAATTGGGTTATTCTCTGGAAAAAAAGTTTTAATGCACCTACTATGTGCTACCAGGTGTGTAAGAGTTGACACCATCCTCATCTTTCTGAATTTGCAAACATAGAACAGGGGCTTACAATAGAATGTGATGAGAGTTGACATCTGCGGAGGCACAAGATGTTATGGGGACAAGCAGCAAAGTGATCTGACATATTTTATGGAGCCAGGAAAGACCTTAGATGGTAGACGTGGTGGGTGGCATTTCATCTGAAACCCGAAGGATGACAGGGACAAGCTAAGGGAATGCACATGTTGAAAACTGAAAAGATTCTCAGACAGAAGGAAGAGCTCTTGCAAAGTCTCAGAGGTCAGAGAGAATGTGGTGTGTTCAAGGAACCAGCAATTTGAGGCCAAGTTTGAGGTGGAGAACAAGAGAGAGCATGATGACAGACTGCACATCTTGTCTTACCATGTTTCAGGCTAAGCACATTATTTTTAATGTCAGTAAACCATAATAAAAAGCTCTGTCAAGCAAATTATAGAATCAATTTCAAATTTTCTCTACCACTGCATATTCGGGATTGGTTGCACAGGTAACCTTGCCAGGCCTGAAATCTAGACCTGCTCCTGGCAAGGAGAGATTTTTTTTTAATGGTTTTTAATTGATAATCTGGTGCCAAGAGGATTTTGCCCCAGGGGAAGGGTTGTATAATTGAGTCTCGGTTGGGGTTTGGGGCATGGACACACATTTGGAGATGGAAAACGTTCCTGCAGGATAACGGCTCTGAGTCTGCTGCTGTGTGCTTGTGCTCCCCTCCAGGCAGGGAGGACATTCACTGCTCAGGGTTATGAGCTGACCCAAGTCTCTTACCTCAACCCCCTCTTCCTGGTGAGAGAGCCCCACTGGGTTCCACAGACAAGAGGAAGAGGATGTGACTCAGAGGTTCTGGGCTTCCTTGGTTCCCTGGGCTGGGAGTCAGAGAGATAATGGAATCCAGGTGTGTGATCTGCATGCATGCAGGTTTTTTTCCCCTTTTTCTTTCCAAAGCAGAGAAGGCGAGGGATCGTTGCTACTCTGAGAGAGAGTCCCTGAGGTGTCAGCTGTGGCATAGTGCTGGCGGCATCCACAGTGGGGGTCACTCAGGGTGGTGGTATTAAAAAAGGTGGCAGAAAAAGCTGTCAAGGCTCCTTGGGGATGGCTGCTGTGGACAGCAGCCCAGTGAGGAGAGGCCAGTGTGATCTCACCCGAGGTCCTTTCAGGGATCTCCCCAGGAAGTTCAGTTGGCAGGATGGCAGCAGCAGACACACAGGGTGGTTAATAACAACAAACACAGGTAACATCTGCCGAGGGCTTCTACAAGGTGAGCATTAATAGGCACTAACCCAATCCTTGTACTCAGGCTAGGAGGTAGGTATTGTTATCGTCACCACACCACAGATTTGGAAACTGAGGCACAGAGCTGCTAAGAAACTCATTCAAATAAGCAACGAGCTGGGATTTGAACACATAAGCTACGCAGCAGGGTTTACCTAGAAAGTCATTTTGGGCAAAGGATCTTCCTCCATAGGGTTCCTAAAGAGATGCAAGTGAGAAAGATAACAAAAGTTTTCATTTTGATTGCATTGTCCAGTCTAGCCATTGGAAATACATTTACCTCATGAGGTTCAGACTTTTATAGTTTAAAGAAAGGAAAGGAATGGGGTGGTCTCCCTTTGCAAAACCTCATACTGTCCTTTAATCATGTCCACTGTGCTGTGTGGTCTCAATGTCTTCCAAGCAGCTTGGGACTTAGGTTTAATTGTATCAGTAGGAATCAAGTACATAGACTGCTGTGAAGGTCCTCCTGCCTCCAAAAGTCTCTGTTACTACCTGACAGTGCCTGAAATTCCAGCACTAAATAATCATTCCTTTGAATATTCCAGAGTTTTATTTTACAGAATTCTCTCTTAAAATATAAGCATCCCTTTAAAGGATAGATTTAAATCCCTCCAAAGGATGGCAAATATGTAACACCATATTCTGAAAAAGTTTCCATAGTATGTAGAAGGTTAAAGGGAGCAGGAAATGGATGATAAATAGGGAGATGGGTTTCCCTGAGAAGGTGTCAGTGAAAAATTGCTTCTTGAAATCCCTGAATTTATGTGTTGCAGCCTGATGACATATTTTTGTAAACTTGTGAGAGCAATAAAGTTTTACTGGATGGATTCTTTTATTTCAATGATTTTCCTCAGTGTTGACTGTTCAGTTATTTCAAGAAAAGCTAATTATTTAGAAACATTGCTAACCATTACTGATACATTTGTACGTTAAAAATCTATTCTCTCTCAGATAATGATGAAAAGAGAGCGTACTGTAAAATTTGCCTGAATAGCACTATTAGATCACCAAAAAGCAAACAGTATAACATCACACTATAAATTATCCGTCTTTGAAGCAATCAGTTGTCTCTTTTGGATATGGTGGCTATTGTGAGTGTATGCCTATAGTGGAGTCTGGTAGATGTCTGAGATTGATGTTGCTTTTTCAACAACATTAAGTGGCCCTACTGAATTTATTATTCCTTCTTTCATTGCATCTATTACTCTAATTGTCAAGTTACTGTTAGGAAAAACATTACAATGAAGATTCTACAGCGTAGGTAAGAATAAGCAAATCAGACCCAATGTGTGAGGAGCTCTATTATAGGAGAACTGATTAAAATGTGCAAATAAAACAATCATGAAAGAATCATAGCTTTGTTGGAAATAATGTATAATAAAAATGTAAGACCCAGAGTAATTGCACTCTAATGCAAAAAATGTCTGTTTTTGTACAGGCTTTATGGGTTTTACAAGAAGTGGGGAAAAAGCAGGGGAGTAATAGCAGTGATCTTGAGTTTCTTCTTTTATAAGAAAAGGTAGGCTGATGAAACCTTTTGTACACCTCTCAGGGCTGCTGTGAGAATCAAGAGTCAGTGTATGACAAAGTCCTTTTGGCCTATCATGTGTGAGATGCCATAATTACAAATTTTGTTCAGACACATTTGGTATGGGAGACAAAGGGTTGGGTCCTATCATCTCTACTCATGTTATCGGGAGACAGCATTGCTAAGTGGACAGACATGGCTATCTGTGAAGTCCACAAAGTCCTTGAAATTTTATTACAATACTCTTCTTTCATATCTTTATTCAGATTCTCAATCCAGCCTAACCTTGAGGTGTTAAGAACCACTGTCTGGGAAGAGGTGCTTTCTGTATATTTTTCCAAATGATGTGATAGTAAAAGAACAGCTCCACAGACCATGTTGCCTTATAAAATTTCATCAGTTCTTAGAATTTGCGAAGCCCAGATTAAAGATCCAAGAGGATTCGGCTCTACTGGGGACACAGTCCTTTTGACAGGGTCTCACCCATCAGGGCTACATACCCTGAGGCAACTGATGCCCCTTAGATTTGAGTCAATATTTCAAAGAATCTGCTGATTGCATGGCATGCCATGCAGTATCACAAGAATAATATTTATGTCACATTCTGGCACACGCTGCATGGACTTTGGGTGTATCTGTGTAGATTTTGGTGAAAAATGTGTTTCGCTAACTTTGCATAATTATAAGAAAAACAAAACACAAAGAAAGGGCAGATATTAAAGACTGAATTTGTAAAGCTCTCCCAAATACAATATTTGCAGATGCTTTAATGAGAAATTTGTGCTTGCGTTAGTTTATTGGGTTTAACATTTGCAATGACTACATGGAAGATTTGCTCAAGACTTGTAGATGAAAAAAATCTTAAAGTTTAAATGTTTCTTGTGGATGAGAAACTGAATTAAAAATAATTTGTCATCCAATCAAAAATACATGAATTGAAATAATATTTTAATGGATCTGATAAATTTCCTTTCACTGAAAATTTCTTCTTTTCTTTTCCATTTATTTTATTGCATTTTAGGTTTTGGGGTACATGTGAAGAACATGCAAGATTGTTGCATAGGTACACACATGGCAGTCTGATTTGCTGCCTTCCTCCCCATCACCTACATCTGGCATCTCTCCCCTTGCTATCTCTCCCCAACTCCCCACCCACCACTGTCCCTCCCCTATTTCCCCCCAACTGACCCCAGTGTGTAGTGCTCCCCTCCCTGTGTCCATGTGTTCTCGTTCAACACCCGCCTATGAGTGAGAACATGCGGTGTTTGATATTCTGCTCTTCTGTCAGTTTGCTGAGAATGATGGTTTCCAGGTT